GTTGAAGATGCGAGGTCTGCACGCGCTGTTATGCATCGCACGCTTTCAATATTGCGATATCGATCGAGATGCTTAATGTAGCCTGGGCTCGCAAATCAAATTAAAGGATCGGAACGAACGTTCGTCGCACGTGGTGAGATCGATAAACGCCGTTGCATGCGCATCACGGGCCAGGATCGGCGATGGCGGCGGACAAACGCCGCGTGACCGCGACGATTCGCGTGAACGTGTTGTCGAAACGAGACTCGTTTTACGATCGCGGAGTCTCGTTGGCCTTTCGGGGGAGCGACATTTCACGCACGGGCAGAGATCGCCGGCGGTTCGCAAAGAGGCAGATCTCTCTCTCTCTCTCTCTTCTCGTTACGCGAGCACAGCTGACATACGCGTGCGGCGAAACGAACGCCGGACGAGATCGATTCCAAGAACGATCTTCCTCTTCCTGTTTACAACAACCGTAATCTCTTTAGGATTGACAATGATGATTGCTTACGCGACGCGTGGGCCAAGAAAAATGGACGAATCCCGCCTTGGCGTTTCATGATTCGTACACAAGTCCCAAATTTAGAGCTGAATGTGACGACCGAGTCACAACAATGTTATTTTCTTTATTCGCCGGTCGGTCGTTGTTTACTATTCAGTTGTTGTCCGTCCACCGTGTGCTCGGTTGATTGGCATGTGTGCCAAAACGTCACTGGCGGCTTCCTCTCCACGGAATTGCCGCGTTGATGACACGACGCCAGTGAGAACACTGTAACGTCGAATCGACGTCGAATTAACGTCAATCGAAATGGCGTTCCAACTGTCAGTTTTCGAAAATAATTAAAAGTTTTGGAAATTAATTTTTTGTATTAAATAAGTTAACTTGGTAGTTCTCTCCCATAAAATGTTAAAAGTATTCAGGGCGCTGTGAACGTGGTGATTAATACAAAAAGTAAAGCTTCAAAACTTCATTATTTTCGAAAACTGACGATTTCGACCCCATTGACTCGATGTACGTTGATTCGGCCTTAGTGTCCTCGCTGGGATCATTCGGAACAGCGCGGCGAGGAAGCGTAATTGCAATTCGACTCCATTATTTCGTTTTTGCATTCGGTCGCTCCACGTGGCCGCGCGGGAGCCCACGTGCGGTAGAATGGAATATTTCATTATTGCGTTGTAATTCGCTGTATGTGTCGGACAAAATTGCGATGCACGCGACGGCACAGGAGAAACGACGTGACACACGTGACACACGTGGCCGTCACATGCAAATTCTTGATACGGGAACCATGCGGGATCGAGGCGTGATTGTGACGCCTCGATCTCCTCCTTCGTCTCGACTGTGACGTCCACTTCTACACCATCATATTTTATTACACTTTCTCATTTATCTTATCGCTTTCAGCCAAAATCGCGCCGCGGAGCTTATCCTTCAATATTGAGGATTGTCAATTGCGTTGCGTCATCTATTAACTTTGAAAACTGTCGGAGATTAATGCGCTGATGCAACGCGCGGTTAATTAAAAATCAGAAATATACTGCTTGATGTATCGCGCCGATGTCGAGCTGTCATTTATCCAAGTTTCGCGGCGGAAGTACATTTCACGATGAATTTCGAGTCGTTGAGCTTACGATATTCTGGTCGTCGTCCTTTTTGCAGTCGCGGCGCAGGCTCTGTCGAGGCTAAACGCTTAACCTTTCTAAAAATCGATAAAAAAAACCCTGCCAACGAAGCGGTAAAAGCTTCCACTTGGACGAAAATTGCGCGAAAGTGCTGCGTGTTACGGTATTATTTTTAGAGACGGTGAGAACCGCCTTTAGGTTTCAGCATCCCTAAGCACTCTCATTATGCTGTCACATCCCCCTCCCTCCCTTTGCCACAGAGAGAACAGAAGGTACTCATAATGACATCATCACGACTTTATTCATCATTTATAAGTGATGAACAAAGTCATTATGAGGTCACTTCATCAGTTATAATGATGTCATTATGAGTTTATGTTGTATGTACGTATATAACTGCGTAATAGCCCGTGTTTATATTATGTTTTTACAAATGTGTCTGTCACTTTGACGTGAATATTAATCGAATAGCTCTTAAATTAGAATTCAAAGTAAAATACGCAGAAATTTCTAATAAAAGAATATTCCGAAAACAATTGTTTGATTCATTCTTTATCGGTACATTCTAAAAAATACATAATAATCTAAAATATACTTAACCCCCACATTACCAAACGTGCCAACATATTTGTAAATTTATGCCGACGTTTTTTACGTGAAGTTTATGTTATCGAATTTTATTATTAACGGTGGGTAACATTGATAATTTGATAAGCGACACCGACAAAGATGCCTTTTAAAAATTGACAATTATTATGAAAGTAATCATGAAACTGCTGAAATTTAAATAAATATATTTACGACTCGATAATGTCCAATTCTTGTTTAAAACCACACTTATCATCCGAGCTGGATTTATAAATACTACAAACTACTCACTTTGCCGCCATCACAGCCATCACAGGTCCGCGCCATAGACTTCTATAGACGGAATGTTAACTA